AATAACGCTAAAATCGAGGTTTGAACCCTGAAGTGAGCACAGCACAAATAGTCAGTTGTGTAATTTTCACTCAACAAAACAAATGAATACGCCTCTGTAATAATGTTTATGAAACATTTATATAACTATTATATATATATATATATATATGTCATTGTGAGAAATGTCTAAAATCCTCTATTGTTGTGTGAACTCTTATTCTATACAGATGGCTGTTACAAGCTTATAAATGGATAAAACAGAAAACCGCATAACATGAGTATTTCAATGCCAGATACCAAATTTATTTTCTGAGTGAAATTATCAAAGATATTAAATATATTTGTTACTGGGTACAACAGTTCATGTACGTACAACGTAATCAGTATAGAAGTCGATGGCCTAGGACATTCTGATGCGGACAGCTTTGTGAGTGAGTTGTAATCTGAATATTCGTTTAGAAGGTGTATAATTTAACACATTACGTTGTAACGGAGCCACCGTTGTAAGCGTTGTTGTAATTTATCACGTTACGTTCTAACCGAGCCACCGTTGTAAGCGTTGTTGTAATTTATCACGTTACGTTCTAACCGAGCCACCGTTCGTAAGCGTTGTTGTAATTTATCACGTTACGTTCTAACGGAGCCGCCGTTGTAAGCGTTGATGTAATTTAGCACGTTACGTTCTAACGGAGCCACCGTTGTAAGCGTTGTTGTAATTTACCACGTTACGTTCTAACGGAGCCGCCGTTGTAAGCGTTGTTGTAATTTAGCACGTTACGTTCTAACGGAGCCGCCGTTGTAAGCGTTGATGTAATTTAGCACGTTACGTTCTAACGGAGCCACCGTTGTAAGCGTTGTTGTAATTTAGCACGTTACGTTCTAACAAAGCCGCCATTGTAAGCGTTGTTGTAATTTAGCACGCTACGTTCTAACGGAGCCACCGTTGTAAGCGTTGTTTAAGAAAGCTGATTCGCTCACTATTTGGAAATCGCGACGGCATTTTGAACGATGCTAATTTTAGTTCAGGCACGAGACGTGCTTTTGGTAATAACACCATGAACAGTACACAAGTTGGATAACATATGTGATAACATTCAACGTTTAAGAATGCACAATAATTTATTGTACAAGTTAAAATAAAATATACAATTAAAAACTCAACATGTTTCGGTTGAAAAAGTTCCATCATCTTCAGACCAAAAGAAACACAGGAAATTTCATTTTTTATTTTTTTACTAGCAAGTGCACGTGTATAATTTGCATATTATAAAGTGACATCTATATATTATATAAATTGTTATATAATAATTTATTGTGCATTTTTAAAAGTTGAATGCTATCCCTTGCACAAGAATGGTCATAGAATATATTGGATATAAATTGAAGTTGAGTATAGGGGTATTTCTATCTGAGTGGCAGCAGACCCTTCATTGGAGAGCCTCAATTTGAGATATAGTTCTTTTAAGGTTAAATTTTTTGCTTTGTGAATCCTACTGACATATAAATGTTAATTTTTGCCTCCCTTCCCCCTACTATTTGCTCCCTTTATTCCGTCATCTTCCCACAAATAAACAAAAAAATCCTATAACACCACTGGTTGAGTTTGACGCCTGTTGTTGGAAACAAGATCGTACTGGGATTGGGTACATTATATTAAAACGATTTTGAATATGCAAGTTACGTAACAACCGCAGTCGGTATTAAAAGTCACAGTTGAACGTCATGTATCGAAAACACGTTTTGACATTTTCTGACGTTTCGTAGACAGTGTGATGCCATCAAGAATTGATCGTTTTCGGGAAGGGTATGTAACAGCCCTATTTCCCAATGCAAAATATTCATACACTCAGATCATAAAGATGTGTATATATCGTGGATTTAGAAGTTCCAAGACGGGGTTAACCCTTGTACATTGGAAAACAAAGGAATGTGGATCATTTGACACCAGGACCATCCAAAAAGAGACCTGCAACAAGTCATGATAAACGAAGTCCGGAGTCTTGTAAGATATAATAATCCACGAACACAAAGGTCAATGCCAGAATCCGTTCACATACCCCATACAACAGTACGTAACATACTCAAGAAGGAACTCCTTCTGGAAACTTGGCCAACAGAGCATGGGTTTGCCAAGATAAGGCTTCCAGGCATAACCAAGCAACTAGAGAATTAAATGGGTATTCGTGTTATTCCATACGAAGACGTAATGATCAAGTCGCTGGACGCATCGTCTGTGGAGTTCTGAGCGATCGGACTGTTGAAATGGTTCTGGGAAACCGCCGTCATCGTACACTAGATGGATTGTAGAAAGGGCTCCGATGGGATTGATATGATTTGGACATTACAACTTATTGCAATGGAAACTACGTTGCAGGGCTATTTACAAGGTAGATTACGACCGGATGTGACGAAATGAACTGTAACGACATTCAACATTCAGTAAAAGCTGAAACTAAACATGCATCGCTCGCTATGTCAGCCGTAAACAATGCTATAAACAGTATGGAAGTTTAGTATGCCATGTGCTGTTGGAAAGAACGTAGAAGATGATGGTAACTAAGCATGACACGTGTTCTCACAAATAACATTGTCAACAATGTGGAAGTTGTTCACAATATGTGCCGTTTTGTGGAAACAAAGCCTTGGACAATATCAAAGTTGAAGCTGATCATGACACGTGTTGGATACAATGATCTTTGTGTGCGACAAGCCATGAACAATTCAAAAATAGAAATAAAAAAACTGGCATTGCATGTTCAAGATGACCTTTCAGAATGACTTACTCACATCTTGTTTTTTGCACGTGTACTTAAAAATAAAGACGTTATGTTTTTGTATTTTTTGGAGTAAAATTTAAATTAAAATCCCTCCTCTCTCTTAATGTATAAAACATGTAACTCGATCGGTTACTAAGTGCTCTAAACTTCTTATTACACACTTCAACGGCGCGTTGATTTTCTGAGAGTTAGTTATAGTAGATGAGAGGGAACAGTCATTACGGCTATAAGTTTTATATCTCACATAAAACCCTAACAAACCGATCATAACAACAATACGTTAATGAAAGAGGCACAGTCCACACTCGTAATCAGTAATGAATAATGAAATAGTGATCAAATTTAATAACTATATATATATATTTATATAATAGAAAAGAATGATTACTATTTATAAAGCTGTTGATAGATGGTAGACTATTCTGTATTAATTTAAAACACACGCAGAGTTAGGTAAATGGCGTGTCCAATTAATACAGTAGAGCACCGATTATCCGGACTTATCGAAACCAAGGGTGGTTCGGATAATTGGACATCATTAAAAAATCGTATCTTAAACATATATTTTACAATATTGTCAATGTATACAGTTTATACAAATAAAAATCATTTAAGGCATAAGCAAGAAATGATTCAATTTACCTATATAATATCCACTCTAAACGACTGAATACATATGGACAATATTGTAATGTATTTACTACAATAACTAAGTTATTGACAGCTGCTTCGTGGAAGACCTCTTTTTTTCAGCTATATGTCCATGTTTGTAATTTTCAAGTTTGATCCAGATAATTGTACATCCGGATAATCGGCGTTCTACTGTATTTTGTATGGTAAATCTATATCGAAAGGACAATAGCAGTATATCACGTCTAGTCCCATTGGGAAAAGGGAGGACTTTTGTCAAATCATGTTGTCCTTGATGGTTCTGGGCCTCTCCTTGAAGCGAAAGTGGACAGTGTTCAGAACTAAGTGTAATCTTCAAGTGATAATTAATCTGTGTAGTTTGGTATGGTCGTTGTTTATCAATCGCGTGGTATGATTTTGATCGATGTGTACTCGAATTTAAAATTCAGAATATCGTAGATAGCTCTGCAACTGAAATTACTCTTGAATGACACCAAAATAATTAACGAGATGTGACGTCAGTTATGATGTGTATTAGTTAAATATTTATGTCTTTCCTTGTTGTTCTCTTTTGGCTCCGTGCCTTACATTTGAAAAACTAAGTGCTTTTATATCAACGTTTCACGTAATGTTGTAGCATAACGCTTAAGTAATTTAAACACGAAGAAACGTGACGTCTTGTTGAATAATTTCGTTGCTTAAGTGTTTGTGAAAAGGTCTTAAAGAGGTTACATAGAACTTTGTGAAATTTAACAACAATGTTTTACTATTTTCCTTGGATACATAAAGCTAGATGTGTTTTTTCTACTGGTGGCGCCATCTGCATAAATTACATCTTCTAGACTGAAAATCTCTTTTAAAAAAAAAACACCCCGTAACAATAAGATTAACTTTTTTTTTCTTACGAGTGAAATTGTTTAACGATTTACAAGTAAGTCCTCATCAAAACTCATCCGGTAATGATAATATTAACATGTTTTTCTTAAGTTTTTTTTTTTTAATCACATGTAAAATATTTTCGTCTGGTGATTATAGAGTAATTAGTTCTAAAAAAGCCCTACCGGTAGTGATAAGATTAATCCGATATATTCCTTCCGAGCAAAATCATTAACAAGTACGTCTAAAACGATACCTAGTAGTGATGAAATTAATCAGATTTTTTATTTTTATCACGACTAAAGTTGTCTAGCGATTAATGAGTAGAAGTATACTTCTGTGAAACCACGGGGTAGTAATAAGATTATCTAATTGTTTCTCTTGCATTTCTTCTTTGTAACCGAGGAAGAACCGGGGGGGTGGGCGATTACAAATAAAATAAAATGCCCGTTGTTAGTGAAAAGGTTAAAAATATTCCAGAAATGTATCTTTTAGTTGCACATAGTACTACGTTTGTCTTTTTTTTTATGTAAATGTTTAAGCTATCCAATTTGGTAGTGTGTTCTTTTCATTATTGTTAATACTTGGTTTACAGCCCAGTGGCTTGCTGAGAGAAATCTCATTAGTAACCCAGACAAGTTACTATACTGTGGTGGCGTTTGTGTGTATTTTTTTGTTTTGTTTTTATTAGCTGTTCACTCAGTGTCTAATGAATTTCTTCGTGTTACGTTTACAGAAGTTTCTGTTGGACTACAGCCATAAGGACATTCATCTGAAAAAGCTACAGACCGCTATTGACCAGCAGAAACAGACAACTAACGAGGAAGTAAACGAGGAGTTGGAAAGAAAAGGTAAAGCACCGCACTTGTTTGGTTATTTTAAGAAATATTTAATAAACAGGTTGGTCGTTTATATAGGCGTAGAAATTTCTAATCCAAAGCAGAGGCTCCCCAGTGGCATGTTTGTGGACTTGCAATGCTAGAATCCGGGTTTCGATACCCGTGGGGGCAGAGCACAGATAGCCCATTGTGTAGCTTTGTGCTTAACGTTAATTAAACATAGATGTTTAAGGCTTGAAAAAAAAGTTCTGATGTTAAAAAATGCATGCCAAAGTTTTCATGCAGTCAGTTAATCTATATAAATATAATAGTACTGTCTGTTGTATGGCCATGTAACTGCTTCGCAGGGTGTGGGTGGACGGATCTTCACCCAAATTGATATGGAGATTTATTAGGTTCATGCGGGTGTAAATACAGATTTTTAGTTTTGCATGGGCGTTTTCGCGTTTTTTACCACTACTTCGACCCCTGTTGATGGATCTTCACCAAATTTAACATGAAGATTTGTTGTGTTCATGCGCAGATACATGCAAACTTGCGGTTTCACATTTTATGTTTTGCCGTTTTTTACGATCAAATACAAGGGAAGCAACTTTTCATGTCCTAAGATAACCTTTCATTAATCACGAAGTTACATAACTTCAGTCCAGGGGACGGGTACTCCAGCTGGTTATACATAATTTTCTTTAAGCTACGAAACAACCTCGTCGAAGTATGTTGGTTGTTCTTGTTACTCACATGGTACATTGCAAAACTGTTGTCTCCAACAAAAGTAATTGCTTTGGATATGTTGTGTACCATTCAGTATGTCTGACGTAGGGTGTGTGTGTGTTCCTCTGCTGGTTTAAAAAAATTGATGATCTAGGTTAGAACTTAGCAGCATGAAGTCAGAATGATATTTGTACCATTCATTTACATATCAAATATCTCTTCATATGGCAAAGATTTGTGACATTCACAGTGAAAGTGTAACGTTCTGAAGAGCTTTAATAGTCGAATTTTATTATTTCCAGCTCTACAGTTATTCCTATAGAGTCCATAAAATATCTCTCATTAAATATACAAGATTCTCATATCTGAAGAGTACAATTCTGCGATATTATCTTACTTGCCTGTCATAGCGCAAAGCTAATGTCGTCCCTTTGGCTAGCATATCACAGGTAACCGTTTGGAAGAACATTCACATATGACTTCAGGCCGCTTTAAAGTTTAATTTCCCAACGTTTTGTCAGCTGGACAACAAATCATATAATTCGACATCATATCGTTCATTAAGCAACCAACATTTTGCGGGATGGACAACAGAATCATAAAATTTGACCTCATATAATTCTTTAATCCCCCAACGTCCTGTCGGCTGGACAACAGAGTCGTATAATTCAACATCATATCGTTCATTAATGTCCCAACGTCCTGTCAGCTGGACAACAGAATCATAAAATTCGACTTCATATAATTCATTAATGCCCCAACGTCCTGTCAGCTGGACAACAGAATCATAAAATTTGACTTCATATAATTCATTAATGTCCCAACGTCCTGTCAGCTGGACAACAGAATCATATAATTCATTAATGTCCCAACGTCCTGTCAGCTGGACAACAGAATCATATAATTTGATATTAGATCGCTCATAATTTATCTTTAATGCTTTGTTTTCTGTGAGCTGTGTGGCTATTATGAGGAGTGGGTAATAAATATAACATACATACATATATATACATATATGTATCTGAATTATACCTGTTAATATACACATAGGGAAAATAACAGACTATTTTGGTGGGCAGACATGATCAAATATGGCGACATATTGATAGAGGTAAGTACTTATTGACTTATTTTCCACTGAGCTAGTTTTTAATGTATTTTTACTTTCATAATTTTGTAAGAATGATGAAGGGCCATAGTGAGCAACTTAAATACTTCGATTGTTCATAGATGATTTATTACAATAAGTAGTTTCAAGCGTACTACGGTGCCAGAGCTAGAAAGGACTTAGATTTGTGTTTCAAAAGAAACAGAAATGGAGAAAGAGTGCAAACCCTGTTTTGTTCCTTGTGAAGATCAAAGTTGAGTTAATGACAAGAAACCAGTTCTTCTAAGATCAGTACAGCGACTAACCCACTGCAGGAATCATTGAATGCAGCAGTGAAGTACACACTTTATTGTTTGATTCACGTAATGTTTTTATCTTTAAATGAAAAGCACGAGTCCCCACTATCTGCTTTGGATGGTTGCTGTGCTATCCAGTCTTCACCACACCCTCACGATTGAGAAAAAATGTATTTATAAATATAAGTATATTAGAAATAATGCAATGTGTTTGTTATGATCTTAACCATTAGATAGATTTAAAAGTCATAATTCAAAGTAAGAGTTGTTTCTCTGACAGTATTATTCATAGTGGGGGTACATAGAGCATATGGATAAGAGTTGATGAAAATAACATAGCAGCTCAGAAATCTAAATAGCTTACATGTCATGTCTGTGTTTATTTTACTTTCCTTCGCTATACTACAGCTATACGTAGTACAGCTTACATGTAGGTTTATTTTACTTTCCTTAGCTATATTACAGCTATACATAGGATTGTAGTTCTGAAAGAAGGGGGAGATTGCAATTCTTTTGTATTTTCTAAAAGTTGAATTTGATGCTATGATACTGTATGTTAACGAAATATAGATTGTTTTATACTCAAGAAAGTTAAGTTTTTATTGATACCGCACGTGCCATTTGGAAGTATTACGATTGTTCCAAATGGTGATTGGGTAATCTCCTCTTACCGAACATTATTGGATCACATTTCTCGATTTGGGGAACAAACCTCTCGTAGGGAGTGCGTGGACTTCCGTTTGTTGAATTGCAATACGTATTATTGAGCTCGACCGAGAACATGACATTGTCAATGATAATAACCAAATGGTTCATCGCTTCCTCATTAACTCACTTTGCGCTGTTTGTAACGCAGATATACAAATAGTGATGACAACCAGTCTTCAAATTGGTGAAATAAATTAAGATATGAGTTTTGAAATAGGCGAGGCTCACGTGTTTCTGAAGTCAGCATAGCCGAATACGACTAAGTTGCAAAATATTTCTAAAAAGCAAAAGTACCCGTCCCCAGTGACGGAAAAATTTTAAATTAATATAGCAAATGTACCCATCTGTAGTGACGAAAAAAATTAAGTTAATCTATAAATTTAAATTATTTCATGGACTTTAAAAATGTTAATTGTGTTACACTCTTGGTTTCACTTACACCAGGAAAATTAATTGTTGACCATGCCAGTCGTGCTAAGAGCTGCTCAGCGATAACATACAGTAAATCTACATTTTTATTCTTTAAGTGACGTCACATTTTGAAATGTGAATGATAGTGTGGTTAATTCCTAACAACTTAGTGTAGAATATCCTGCTTGAGAAATGGCGGGAGAACAGGCATGAATAATGTTGGTGCGAAATTTTAAAAGTGAAATATGTAAAATTTCCATTAATTAGTGATAATAATAAGCAAACGCCATACTTAAATTTCTGGTAATCATTTACAGCCTTTGTGAGATAGTGTTTTTGAAATCAATATAACATACTTAATTGGGATTATGTTCCATGTAGCTTAATGATGAAGTATTCAGCAGGTAACAATGTAATACTTGTTGAAAAATTTACTTTCGAGAAAGCATGTAATTACGTACTACACAGTTTATACGTCGGTTTCGTAAGCTGAAACAATCGGACTACGTGCTTTCCCAGATCAGTAGTATCGTTTATTAAAATTTACTATTTGAAAGTGAATCAAACCAGATGTAAATATATATATATATATATATATATATATATATATATAACAAGCTCTCGAATTCCAAACAAAATTAGCTTCCCATAAGCCAGTGTTTTTGTGTTACATAATTACGACTTTAGAATAATGTTGTTCGAATTTTCCCAAACTTTCGTTATCCATGCCCCCTTTTAATAAATATGGTTTCTTGTGCGTGCTCCCCCATTTTAAATGAATGAAAGAGTGAATTAAATGATGAAATATAATACACGGATACACATTAAAATGCTCTTATTATTTTCATTAACAAAAATATATATTAAAACGCTTAACTTCGCATAATTGCACTATTGACTCTAGTCGCTCGCGCCCTCTCTCTCAAGAGATCATTTACTCTTCCTGGAGTGATGCCTCACAGTTTGGGAATCGCTGGTTTACGAGATGAGTGAAATCCAGTCGTGTAAGATCCAGAAACACTATGATCTAGCATACCGAAGTTTCGACGAAAGAATGTAGATTTTTAAAACTGGCACAAGAACGATTTTTAATGATGGACATTACATATTCAATTGCTGTTACGCTACACGTGTTAATAAAAACAAAAAACCATATCAACAGATGTTTATTTGTTGCTAACTTAAAAACAAATCTCACCACTGTCCTTGCAATAGTATTTACACCAGGTTTACCCAAAAAGCAGTGAAGCAAATTAACCAAAAAAGTAACTTATTACATTCCTTATCTTCACACCAGCACCGGTTTTCAAAAGGTTTAGTTAAAGTGTGTAAAATAGTCACAGTTCCACGTCCTTAGTTGACCTAGCGGTTTTCGACTATTTCACATACTTTAATTAAACCTTTTGAAAACCGCTAGGTCAACTAAGGACATGGAACTGCGACTATTTCACATACTTTAATTAAACCTTTTGCAGTTCCATGTCCTTAGTTGACCTAGCGGTTTTCAAAAGGTTTAATTAAACTAATAAAAGATCGATTTTCCGCAACAGATAAGCAGTAGTTTACATCTAAACTTATAGAGAGGTAATAAAGTCAAACTAGTCAGATACCGAGAAACAAGTATTGGACAAAAGCTTTTTTCTATCATTAAGATGGTATTAGGGGAGGTTTCTAATGACATGATCTGATGTATTCGAAAATGTCTGGATATGTTGACGAAATAAAATTGATGTAATTTACGTAGTTGATTTTGTCTATTCTGCTCTAACTCATTATCG